TTCACAAAGACGCCGGAAATAGCTGAGCATTTTTTTACAGTTGAGGTCCGTCATGTTTCCATCACCTGCCCGCCATCTGGTGGTGACGCCGCCGTTTGCATCTTTGCATTTTTTTCCTTCGTCCTCCCTGCCGTCCTCAGCGCTGCCCTTCCTGACGTCCGCCCGGGAGTCCACTTTAATGCCCGCCTTGATGCTGGTGTTGATCTCCCGCCCTCATGTACCCCCATGCCCTCGCCTATGCAATAAGGGAAGACATGCCCCACCGGTCGCGCCAGTACCTGCGCTGATGCCCATGCCAATGCCGTCCCAATGCCCGCCGCTCGGTTGCCGGAGCAGTGATTGGCCTCTGAGTGCTCCGGCGGCGCGAGAGGGACATTAACCGCGAGATGTTTATCCCGTCATGATTCACGTAATATGATAATTACGTCTTGAAGCAGCGCGCGTGGGGCGGGGTGACGCTTGTGAGGCGTCCACGCCCGGGCGGACGACCTACGCGGGTGGAACGACCACGCCCGCGAGACGACTTGAACTATCAACCAGGAAGACGACTCGCGTGGGATGAAGTAGTTATAAGAACAGCAGAATCTTGTCACCCGAGATACATGGACAACGCAAACAGTGTAATAAAATCTACCCAGCGGGACTAAAATAGAAAGCGTTGCACATTAACCTTTTAAACTGTTTATTTATAGTTTAACCATGCATTTTCTGTAATATATTGCTCTATTTTTTGTCCTTACTCATCCGTACCTTTGCTTATCAAGGTGAGTGAAGAGTAAGACCACTTCTGTGTCTCAAGGCCTTGTACAGTAACGTTAGTGATACGTCAGACACGAACATTTGTAAACTGGAGATCTCGCTGACCATCTCCTGTGTTACAAGACATTCTTGTCCGCGATCTCTGCCGGGTTCGAGACGCCACCCCGCCCCTAGACGCGCCACCCCCACCCCCACCCCTAGGCGCGCCACCCCACCCTCGGAGGCGCTTCCCCCCCCCCCCCGCCCGTTCCTCGGTCCCTAACCCCTTCCCCTCGGAGGCTGTAAAACGGGAGAAAATCTGTGAAATAGATGGCTAAATCTGTTCAGTGTTGATGAATCCAGATCTTGTTGTTCACCGATTTAGACGATATATATGATGTTTTTTTTTTTTGGATATGTTAAAAATGTGAATAAAAGAAAAAGATCTTTGTCAGATCATGATAAAAAAAGTTGCCCCATGGAATGTTTATTTTGCTTGTTTATCTTCGTCTAGCGTTCATTTAAGCAACCGCCTCAGATTAAAAACTAGAGCTTATTCCACATGTTTAGAATTAATTCATATTGTACCAACGCTCATTTGCATGCTTATTCGCTCTCATCAATATAATTATGTCTTTGCTTGCATGAATGCTCAATTTAGACCAGTAATCTCTTGGCGCGGATAATTACAGACTCATGAACCCAGGTTGTCCACTCGCAATAATAACACGTAATTTGGTCTGCGTTTGAAATCTTTATAATTCTCACGAGATTCTTAGAAATTTCTGCACTCTAAGATAAGCGAGCTTTAATTTCTTCAGCTCATTATTGTTTGAAGTGTTTTGAAGGCGGATGAAAAAAGCATATCAAACAGAAAGTATTTAGGATTTCAACCCATCATCTTTAAAAAATAAATAACTGAAATATTTTAACGTGTCAAAAATAAGTGAACATCAGATGTATTTCAGAAATAGAATGTATCTTTCCCAAGATGAGATTAGAGATAAGATACAAACTAAAACAAAGCAAATGCTGGAACGGAAAACGTTTAAAAAAACGTTTTCTTGAGACACGAAGCAAGACAGTGAAAGAGACAGCAAGGCAAGGAATGGACACTGACAAAGTTTTCGTGGTTCTTTTGCCCCGTTTCTGCTCTTTGTCTCTGTCTCCTTCGTTCTGACCTCTTTCTCTCTCTCTCTCCTTTACTCCCTCCTTTCCTTTGTTCTTCACAATTACTTTCCTTTCGCCTTTTCTCTCTCTACTTAAATACATGCATACATACGCATACACGGGCGTTTGTTTGCTCGTGTGTGCGCTCATATTCATTCCCGTAGCCCATCCTTCCCTGTCCTTGCTCCATTCCCTGGCGCCTTATTGGTTTTATCATGTACCGCGTCAAATAACTGTGACGGAGGGACAGTTTCCTGGCAAGGAGAGCGAATCCTTGTGTGTGTTCTCCTTCCAGTATCTGAGATGGTCATTAAGTAGTATATTTTGCATTTGAGTGTTTCTTCTGTTACTTTTGATATCCTGTTTGGTTTTATTTTCTCGTTTCATCATCATCATCTTAATCGCAGCCATGGCAACGTTGGTTGCATGTGTGATATCATTATTGTCGTATTTTTTCAGAATAATCTCATTTGGTCATACAGCTACCTTCAACATGCAATATAGATAACAAACGCAATCGTTATGTCACCGATTTTTCCTCTTTTCTCCACCCTTCCTCTGCCATCATGAACACCCTTGTCTTCGCCCCCAG